ATCAAATTCTATAATTTTTTGAAAAATCTGGATTTATTTACCTTCGATCAATTGTTTTGGTATTAGAATTTTTCGTTTTTTGGTTTTCTTCGATTTAAAATTTTCCATCACAATTTTTCGTTTTTTCTTCAGTTTCTTTCATTTTCAGTTTTTCAATTTTTCGATTTTACAATTTTTCATTTTTCGGTTTTTCAGTTTCTCGTTTTTAATTTTTCGATTTTTCAATTTTTCGTTTCCTCAATATTGCAAGTTCTTGATTTTTGTTTTTAATATTCTCGATATTTTGATTTTCGTTTTCTCGATTTCATATCACAATTTGTCCTTTTTACAATTCTTTTATTTTTCCAATATTTCTTTCGATTTTATAATTTTAATATTGAAAAATCGAAAAATTGAATCATTGAAAATTGAAAATAAGTCAGTGAAATGGAGGCAAGAAGTGGGCGGAGCTGAATTTAGGTTTTTCCAAAGAGTTTTATAAGCAAGCAGTAGCCCCGCCCACCGACCCCCCTCTTCTTTCCAGTGATTACTCTTAATACTATTCAATCTTATTATGCTTATCTTGGCAAGTACTAGCTCCGCCCACCCACCCTCTATTTTCTTACAGGGTATGTGATCGGCCAAAATTAGCTTTATCTTAGCATGTACTAGGCCCGCCCACCCACCCTCTGTTTGCTTAGAGGATATGTGATTTTCCAAATTCAGTCTTATCTGAGCAAGTACTAACAAAAAAAATAAACATTGGAAAAAATCAAAAAATTGAAAAATCCAAAAAGTGAAAATTTAAAAATTGGAATCTGGAGAAATTGCAAAATCTGAAAACTGAAAAATTTAAAAATGAAAAATTGAAGAGTCGCACATCTTGAAAATGAAAAAACGAAAAAAAAAGAGACATTGAAAAATTGCAAATTAAAAAATTGAAGTAACGAGAAACTGAAGAAATTAAAATCGAAACATTGAAAAATCGAATAACTGAAAAGATAACCAAAATAAAAAAAAACGAAAAATCGCAAGATATAAAAAAAATCAAAACTTGGAGAATTGAAAATATTAAACTTGAAAACTCGAAAAATTGCAAATCGAAAAACTGAAGAAAAAAAAATTGGTCTAAAGAGTTTAGACAGTACTTCCCTCGCTGTCGGAAACTTGACGACTGCATGCCTATTGTGTTTTTTTTCTCATTACATTTTTGTAGTGGGAATTTAAAAAAAAATTGCGATGACGTCATCAACATTTTTGCAAGGACACGTATATCAGTTGGGATAGATGTAGTGTAATACTAAGAATAAAATTATTATATTCTCAAATTTTCGGGAAAATGAATTCGGTCGTTTGAATATTGATTTGTAATAATCAATAAAATAACGAAACAATTTACTCACGTATACCTACGTATCAGAGGCAACTGAAAATCGTGTATGTATAAACATTGTTAATTTAAGATGACAGGCGTAACAGCATACGTGAGAGCCAAACACAGAAACTGTAAACAAAACGACCGTCGGTTTTATTGCTTCGACTTCCGCTTATTATATAAAACATTGGGTTTTATTTTAATTCTTGACGGTGAAATTCACAATTGGTTGATTATAAACATGTCTATTTCACATTCGCGGAATCAAGTGAACGCATAAAACAAATGCAGGTCTGTAATGTTAAAGTCGATGTAAATAAGCGTGCTACCCTTATGTTTCAACCGAGTTTTTCCTTTAACAAATTTTGTGTCTACCAAATTGGGTTGGTTGGGTTGTAATACTAATAATAAGTGTTGCCTTTAATTTAATCAATAAAATAAATTGACTTCATTAATTTTTTTGAACCACCTCTTAAGAAAATCTAAAAAATATGAATGGAATGATAAATCACAAGTACAAACTCATCGTATTTTTTGCATTTTAGATAGGATTTATTCAGCAAAATTTAAGGGTGACGTCATCAATTTTTTTAGGAGGGATGAACAAATACATTTTGAACAAAAGTTTACCATGCTTATAATAACTTTAAAATATTCCCAAGATTTCAAAGCATTCGGTTTTGTAATTCCTGATTAAATCGATAAAATAAATTCACGCCTTCATTAATTTTTTTGAGTCACCCTGCATATGCAAATCCAAAAGTATGAATGGAATGATAAATCACAAGTACAAACTCATCATATTTTGTACATTTTAGATACGATTTATTCGGCAAACTTTTGAGCTGACGTCATCAGTTTTTTGTAGAAGATAACCAAATATATTTTGACTAAAAATTTATTATGCTCTTTATAACCTTAAAACATCTGCAAGATTTCAAAGCATTCGGTTTTGTAGTTCCTGATTAAATCAATAAAATAAATTTACGCATTCATTAATTTTTTTGAGTCACTCTGTATATGCAAATCCAAAAAATATGAATGGAGTGATAAATGACAAGTACAGGCTCATCATATTTTGTACATTTTAGATATGATTTATTCGGCAAACTTTCGAGCTGACGTCATCAAGTTTTTGGAGGGGATAAGCAAATATATTTTGACTAAACATTTATTATGCTCTTTATGACCTTAAAACATCTGCAAGATTTCAGAGCATTCGGTTTTGTAGTTCCTGATTAAATCAATAAAATATATTTACGCATTCATTAATTTTTTTGAGTCACCCTGTATATGCAAATCCAAAAAATATTAATGGAGTGATAGTTCACAAGTACAGACTCATCATATTTTGTACATTTTAGATATGATTTATTCCACAAACTTTTGAGCTGACGTCATCAAGTTTTTGGAGGGGATAAGCAAATATTTTTTGACTAAAGATTTATGATGCTCTTTATAGCCTTAAAACATCTGCAACATTTCAAAGCATTCTGGTTAGCAGATTAAAAATTAAATTTCAAAATGTTGTTTTATAATTTTGATTTTTTTTCCAAAAATCTGGACGTTTCGGGTGAAAAGTCGATTCAGAGTTGTAAACTACATGTGTAGGACTATGTTATTTTATACAATTGAAAACCCATTTACTATGTACAATTTTGAAGTGACGTCATCGCTTTAGTGGTGGGGATGATTCGACAAATTTTGGTTAGCGTTTTACCATCTACATGATATTCTTAATATAAGTACAAAATTTCACAACAATCGGTCGAGTACTTTCGGAGATTATCTGTCTAATAAAAATCCGTGACAACAGACGGACAGACGGACAGACGGACAGACGGACAGACGGACGGACAGACGGACAGACGGACAGACGGACAGACGGACAGACAGACGGAAATGGGAGACCTATTTCTTCGTCTTCTAGGGGTCATGAAAGATCGAGAAAACGTAAAAGTAGAGAGTCGGCCGACGGACTCGATTACAATACTTCCTTTGCTTACGCTCGGGAAGTAAAAAAGGAAGATTGAAAAATTTAAAAATTCAAGTACAAAATCGAGGCGAGGGAAATTCTGCCGAAATAATCTACGACCAATTTTCTCTTTTTTTTTCATATTCAAAGTTATAGATCTTGACGTGCTGATTCCAAAAATATAGCGTGGGCAATATTTTCGAAATATTCGGAATCAAATCCGAATTTTTTAAAAATTGGGATATTTCAATTGGAAAACCGGTTTTATTTACCTTCGATGAATTTTTTTGGTATTATAATTTTTCGCTTTTCTGTTTTCTTCGAATTTAAATTTTCTCAATTTTCCATTTTCTTGCATTTTCAGTTTTTCAATTTTTCGTTAAAACAAAGTAAAACGGTGCCTCCCCCCCCACCCACTCTTATTCATGTTTATTAGCTCTGAAGAAAGAATTTCAGAAGTTTTCAATTGTTAATTATTAAATTTTTCTATTTTTCAATTTTAAAATTATAAAATCGAAAAAAATATTGAAAAATTAAATCGAGTAAACGAAAATCAAGCTTTTATTTACCCTCAACGGCGATAAAATAACAAAAACCACCCATAAAGAAATTCAAATATTTTCCTACATACAGCGATAATTAAACACTCCATAAATTACTAGACCAACGGTGGATTAAATACGCAGCACAACACCAACAAAAATAAAATAAATAAAGTGTTGGAAAAAACACACACGGTGTAATTTATTTCGGGCTGTTTTACTTCCCGAGCGTAAGCAAAGGAAGTATTGTAATCGAGTCCGTCGGCCCACTCTCTACTTTTATGTTTTCTCAATCTTTCATGACCCCTAGAAGACGAAGACATAGGTCTCCCATTTCCGTCTGTCTGTCTGTCCGTCTGTCTGCCGTCCCGGATTTTTATTAGACAGATAATCTCCGAAAGTACTGGACCGATTGTTGTGAAATTTTGTAGTTATATTAGGAATATCATGTAGATGGTAAAACGCTAACCAAAATTTGTCTAATCGTCCCCACCACTAATGCGATGACGTCACTTCAAAATTGTACATAGTAAATGGGTTTTAAATTGTATAAAATAACATAGTCCTACACATGTAGTTTACGACTCCGACTTGAGTTTTTACCCGAAACGTCCAGATTTTTCAAAAAAAAATCAGAATTACAAAACAACATTTTGCAATTTAATTTTGAATCTGCTAACCCGAATGTTTTGAAATCTTCCAGATGTTTTAAGGTTATAAAGAGCATAATAAATTTTTAGTCAAAATATATTTGATTATCTTCTCCAAAAAACTGATGACGTCAGTTCAAAAGTTTGCCGAACAAATCCTATCTAGAATATACAAAATATGATGAGTCTGTACTTGTAATTTATCATTCCATTCATATTTTTTGAATTTGCATATGCCGGGTGACTCAAGAAAAAAAAATGAATGCGTAAATTTATTTTATTGGTTTACTCATTAACTACAAATCCGAATTCTTTGAAATCTACTGCGAAAAAAAAAACATAATAGGCATGCAGTCGTCACGTTTCCGACAGGGAGGGAAGTACTGTCTAAACTCTTTAGACCAATTTTTTTAATTTACGATAGAGAAAACACTCCAAATAAATACAAACACGACAATTTGTCTTGTTTTTTAGTTTCAACACAAACATGGATTTTACACTGCATTTGCGGTAAAAGCTTTCATAAATTTAATAAAAAAATAACAAATCAGTAAAATTCGCGTCCTTCGAACCTTCACAATTCCACTAATTCACCCATGAGCGAAGAAATCCACCTCATTACCACCAAAAGCCCTATAAATACCATCATCGTCACCCATATCGTCATAGTTCGCTCAAACCATTAACATGAAACTCTTCGTAAGTATACCCTGTATAGTTTTCCAATTTTCATAAAACACACATCATTCTTAGCTTGTCGCCGCAATCTTAATCGCCGCCGCCGCCGCCAAACCCACCGGGGACCAGCACGTCGCCGTCACCCAGGACACCCCCGGCAACTACAAACTCGCCCTCAACCTTGACCGACACTCTCGCGTAGAGTGGGGAAACGCCGACAGGACCGGTAGCTACTCTTACGTCGACCCCAACGGCGTGCTGCATACCGTCGAGTACACCGCAGGAGTCGATGGCTTCCAGGTCACCGGATACAACGCCTCCGTGGCGCCCACCCCCATTCCGGACACGGACGACTCGCCGTAGCCAAGGCTTAACTTAAGGACTGAATTCGATATTATTTGGACACAAAAAAACGCTCACTATTTGCAAAACGTTTATAATAAAAATATAAAAAAATTACAACACGTGAAAGAACACTTGACAATTACTAATAATGCATTATTTTATTAAAATTAAATCCCATACCCAAAACCTCGTACTTTTCGTTTTACATGCCTCATTAAATTTTGTATTGTCGTATTACTAACCGTTATTTTATATTTTTTACACATTATTTTCATAGTTTCTGCACTTTTTGCTTCTTTTTGGGATTTCTGGAGATTTCTTTTGATTATAGCCCAGTACCGTGGAGTACGGTCCTGACTACGATAAGCAGAACACGCTCCGAAATCCAAACTTGAAAATCGAGAGATATCAAGCGTCAAAAGCGAAAGAGAAGTAGTAGAAAACAAAGAAGTGAAGTGGAATAAAAGTAAGAAGCACCAAGAAGTGTAAGGACAGCAATTATTCGGGAAGGTGTGAAATCAAAAGAACCTAACCTCCGAAGAGATAGTCTGGGTGGCAGTTCTTATCGCGGCACGAAGTAAACAACACAGGAACGTACTAGATACACAGGAAGCAAGAAAGTCGGCCAGGGAATGCTAAACGGGAATCCTGAACCGGAAAAAGGACACAAACTAGCAATAAAAGAACAAGACAACCAGAAACGAAAAAGAGAAACCTCCTTTTCACCATCACCGGATACAGAGGAAGCAGAAGAGGGTACAAGCAGGAGACATGGACGAAGTAAAGGATATGTTCAAAACGTTAATGGAGGAAATCGCAGAAATGAAAAGAGACCAAAGAGCATACCAAACAGAAGTAACAACACTAAGAGAAGACAACCAAAGACTGACCGAAAGATTAGAAAGAGTGGAGCAACACTTAGAATAACTGGAAAAAGCAGAAAGGAGAAACAACATCGTAATCAAAGGAGGGAAACTACAAGGAAGCGAAATAACAGCAGAGGTTGAAGAATCCTAAAAAATAAGGTAGGAATCCAAACTAAGATACAAGACGCAAGATTAGTTAGCGAAAAATACGACATAGTAGTAGCAAAGATAGAGAACTGGGACACAAAAAGAGCAATCATGAAACAGAAGAACAAATTAAAAGGATCAAAAACGTTTATTGAAGACGATTACACCAAACAAGAGAGCGAGATACAGAAGAAAATAAGAGGAATAGCAGCAGCAGAAAAAGGGAAAGGAGTCGAGGCAAAAGTAGGGTACAAAAAGATGATATGGGCAGGAGAAGTCTGGCATCGGGACACTAAATTAGACAAATTAGTGAAAGCACCGTCGCACCCCAAAGAAAATCCAAAAAACTAACAAAGGAAGAAACCACACATCGGAAAACAATGACGACGTACGCAAAGCTCATGGATGACCCGATAGGAATTACGAAGAGAAAGAAAAACTCGAAAATTAGAATAGGAACATGGAATGTTCGAGGAACATATAGCGAAGGAAAACTCAAACAAATAGTTCAAGAATTACAAAGGTATAATATAGATGTAGCAGCTATACAAGAGACGAAACAAAAAGGCAAATTCATCACTGAAATAGACAACTACATATTATTTAATAGCGGAATTGACAACAGAGAACTAGGAACAGGATTCATGGTGAAGAAGAGCCTGAAAGGAGCAGTAATTACCTTCAAACCAATCTCAGAAAGAATGAGCTATATAAGATTGAGAAGTAAGTACAGGAAAATAAGCCTACTGAATATACATGCACCGACTGAAGAGAAAGATCTAGAAGTAAAAACAGAATATTACGAAGAACTAGAAAGAGAATATGTGAAAATACCAAAGCATGACATTTAAATGGTTATAGGAGACGCCAACGCAATGATAGGTAAAGAGAATTGCTACAGGCCAACAATCGGGAAAGAAAGCAAACACCAAAAAATTGGTCTAAAGAGTTTAGACAGTACTTCCCTCGCTGTCAGAAACTTGACGACTGCATGCCTATTGTATTTTTTTCTCATTACATTTTTGTAGTGGGAATTTAAAAAAAAATTGCGATGACGTCATCAACATTTTTGCAAGGACACGTATATCAGTTGGGATAGATGTAGTGCAATACTAAGAATAAAATTATTGTATTCCCAAATTTTCGGGAAAATGAATTGGGTCGTTTGGAATATTGATTTGTTATAATCAATAAAATAACGAAACAATTTACTCACGTATACAGCGCCGGTGTGATATGTAGAGAGCGGATTTCTGTCGGGCTAGGCAAGGCCAAACTCGCTACGGCTCGTACGGGATGCGAATTCATTGCGGTTACGGACTGCACTTCGTTTATTTGAGATTAGAATAACGCTGTTTCGTTGCACTCTGCTGTTAATTCCCGTTCTCATTTACTTAGCCGTTTGATTAATAAATCGTTAATTATATTTATGGAATTAGTACCGATTAAATTCAGTGATTATCTATCACCCGCTACTGAGTCCCGGCGATCCAGCGCGTCCCCACCTATAATCGTGACGTAGCCCGACAGAAATCCGCTGTCTAGTAATCTGAGAGGCAACTGAAAATCGTTTGTGTATAAACATTCTTAATTTAAGATGACAAGCGTAACAGCATACGTGAGAGTCAAACAGAGAAACTGTAAACAAAACGACCATCGGTTTTATTGCTTCGACTTCCGCTTATTATATAAAACATTGGGTTTTATTTTAATTTTTGACGGTGGAATTCACAATTGGTTGATTATAAACATGTCTATTCCACATTCGCGGAACCTAGTGAGCGCATAAAACAAATGCACGTCTGTAATAATTATTATTATTATTATTATTATTAAGTGAATATTCTACAGGGTGAGATCCCCATTATTGAATATTTTATAGTCTAACCAAAGTATCCTAAAGTTTACTGTAATCAAAACCACGTACTTCTCTAAGCGATGATGAAAAGAGATCTACTTCACGATGGATGTAATGTTAAAGTCGATGTAAATAAGCGTGCTACCTTTATGTTTCAACCGAGTTTTTACTTTAAAAAATTTTGTGTCTACCAAATTGGGTTGGTCCAATATAATACTAATAATAATAAGTGTTGCCTTTAATTTAATGAATAAAATAAATTAACTTCATTAATTTTTTTGAGCCACCTCTTAAGAAAATCTAAAAAATATGAATGGAATGATAAATCACAAGTACAAACTCATCATATTTTTTGCATTTTAGATAGGATTTATTCACCAAAATTGAAGGGTGACGTCATCAATTTTTTTAGGAGGGATGAACAAATACCTTTTGAACAAAAGTTTACCATGCTTATAATAACTTTAAAATATCTCCAAGATTTCAAAGCATTCGGTTTTGTAATTCCTGATTAAATCGATAAAATAAATTCACGCATTCATTATTTTTTTTGAGTCACCCTGTATATGCAAATCCAAAAATATGAATGGAATGATAAATCACAAGGACAGACTCATCATATTTTGTACATTTTAGATAGGATTTATTCAGCAAAATTTTGAGGTGACGTCATCAATTTTTTAGGGGGGATGAGCAAATACATTTTGATAAAAAATTTACCATGCTTATAATAACTTTAAAACATCTCCAAGATTTCAAAGCATTCGGTTCTGTAATTCCTGATGAAATCAATAAAATAAATTGACGCATTCATTAATTTTTTCCAGTCACTCTGTATATGCAAATCGAAAAAATATGAATGCAATGATAAATCACAAGTACAGATTCATCATATTTTTCACATTTTAGATAGGATTTATTTACCAAATTTTAGGGTGACGTCATCAATTTTTTTAGGGGGGGATGAGCAAATAAATTTTGATAAAAAATTTACCATGCTTATGATAACTTTAAAATATCTTCAAGATTTCACAGCATTCGGTTCTGTAATTCCTGATTAAATCAATAAAATAAATTGACGCATTCATTAATTTTTTTCAGTCACCCTGTATATGCAAATCGAAAAAATTTGAATGGAATGATGAATCACAAGAAGAGACTCACCATATTTTGTACATTTTAGATAGGATTTATTCAGCAAAATTTTGTGGTGACGTCATAAACTTTTTAGGGAGGACGACCAAATACATTTTGATCAAAAATTTACCATGCTTATGATAATTTTAAAACACCTTCAAGATTTTAAAGCATTCGGTTCTGTAATTCCTGATTAAATCGATAAAATAAATTCACGCATTCATTTTTTTTTTTTGAGTCACCCTGTATATGCAAATCCAAAAAATATGAATGGAGTGATATATCACAAGTACAGACGCATCATATTTTGTACATTTTAAATAGGATTTATTCGGCAAACTTTTGAGCTGACGTCATCAAGTTTTTGGAGGGGATAACCAAATATTTTTTGACTAAAGATTTATGATGCTCTTTATAGCCTTAAAACATGTGCAACATTTCAAAACATTCGGGTTAGCAGATTCAAAATTAAATTGGAAAATGTTGTTTTATAATTTTGATTTTTTTTCCAAAAATCTGGACGTTTCGGGTAAAAACTCAATTCGGAGTCGTAAACTACATGCGTAGGATTATGTTATTTTATACAATTTAAGACCCATTTACTATGTACAATGTTGAAGTGACGTCATCGCATTAGTGGTGGGGATGATTAGACAAATTTTGGTTAGCGTTTTACCATCTACATGATATTCCTAATATAAGTACAAAACAATCGGTCCAGTACTTTCGGAGATTATCTGTCTAATAAAAATCCGGGACGGCAGACAGACGGACAGACGGACGGACAGACAGACGGAAATGGGAGACCTATTTCTTCGTCTTCTAGGGGTCATGAAAGATCGAGAAAACGTAAAAGTAGAGAGTCGGCCGACGGACTCGATTACAATACCTCCTTTGCTTACGCTCGGGAAGTAAAAAACGAAAAATCGCAAGATATAAAAAAATCAAAAGCTGGAAAATTGATAATTTTAAACTACTCGAAACTCGAAAAATTGCAAATAGAAAAACTGAAGAAAAAAAGGAAAAATTGAAGAATCGAAAAATTCAAGTACAAAATCGAGGCGAGAGAAATTCTGTCGAAATAGTCTTCGACCAATTTTTTCATTTTTTTCATATTTAAAGTTACAGATCTTGACGTGCTGATTCCAAAAATATGGCGTGGGTAATATTTTCGAAATATCCGGAATCAAATCCGAATTTCATGAATTTTTTAAAAATTGGAATATTGCAACTGGCGTTTCTGGAAAACCGGTTGGGGGTTTAAAAAAAGATCGCAAAATCAAATCTTATGATTTTTCGAAAAATCTGGATTTATTTACCTTCGATGAATTTTTTGGTAATATAATCTTTCGCTTTTCTGTTTTCTTCGAATTTAAATTTTCTCAATTTTCCATTTTCTTTCATTTTCAGTTTTTCAATTTTTCGTTGAAAGCAAAGTAAAATGGTGCCTCCCCACCCACCCTTATTCGTTTTTATTAGCTCTGAAGAAAGAATTTCAGAAGTTTTTAATTGTTAATTATTAAATTTTTCTATTTTTCAATTTTAAGATTATAAAATCGAAAAAAATATTGAAAAATTAAATCGAGAAAACGAAAATCAAGCTTTTATTTACCCTCAACGGCGATAAAATAACAAAGACCACCCATACAGAAACTCAAATATTTTCCTACATACAGCGATAATTAAACACTCCATAAATTACTAGACCAACGGTGGATTAAATACGCAGCACAACACCAACAAAAATAAAATAAATAAAGTGTCGGAAAAAACACACACGGTGTAATTTATTTCGGGCTTTTTTTTTTAATTTACGATAGAGCAAATTGAATTAGAATTGCAGGTTCTAATTGTTGTTTCGCATGATATTCCCGTGTTTCATTCCACGCTTGGTTTCGTTTTAATTTATCAACTATAAATCACAATTAATTCGGAATTACTAAAATAACCACTCCAAATAAATACAAACACGACAATTTGTCTTGTTTTTTAGTTTCAACACAAACATGGATTTTACACTGCATTTGCGGTAAAAGCTTTCAGAATAAACACAGTTAATAAAAAATAACAAATCTCTAAAATTCGCGTCCTTCGAACCTTCACAATTCCACTAATTCACCCATGAGCGAAGAAAGCCACCTCATTACCACCGAAAGCCCTATAAATACCATCATCGTCACCCATATCGTCACAGTTCGCTCAAACCATCAACATGAAACTCTTCGTAAGTATACTCAGTATAGTTTTCCAATTTTCGTAAAACACTCATCATTCTTAGCTTGTCGCCGCAATCTTAATCGCCGCCGCCGCCGCCAAACCCACCGGGGACCAGCACGTCGCCGTCACCCAGGACACCGCCGGCAACTACAAACTCGCCCTCAACCTTGACGGACACTCTCGCGTGGAGCACGGAAACGCCGACGGGACCGTCAGCGGTAGCTACTCCTACGTCGACCCCAACGGCGTGCTGCAGACCGTCGAGTACACCGCAGGAGTCGATGGCTTCCGGGTCACCGGAAACAACCTCCCCGTGGCGCCCGCCGCCATTCCGGACACGGACGACGTCGCCGCAGCCAAGGCCATGCACCTCGTCCTGCTCCAGCAAGGACTACCGCACTTTGCTTAACTTACTTTTACGAAATAAATTATTTATTGACTGATTATTTTGGATTTTTGTTTGGCACTGCGGCAATGAAATATTCCGGTTTGATCTCACTTTTAAACCTGTGCTCCGGGAATAATCCGGGAATCGAAAGGCCGATAATGGCACATTAAAATGGAAGTCGATGAAGTGTGTACACTAATGGAGTTAACGCCGGTAATGAATTCCGTTATCGCCACAGACATATCAGTTGGCTCGTTAAGGCCTTTTCGTCTTGTAATTATTTCGCCATCGACGGAATGGTTGCGCTATCAAAGGAGATGATCGATAGGAAGGGACGTTATAATTACGGAGACGCAGGTGGGTTGCACGGAAAGGCGTTATTACACACAATGGCGAACGTCGAAAAATCGGACTGGAAAAAATCTCGATTTGACGCAACCAGTAATACACCCCTTGATCGAATTCAAGCTTTATGATTTTACCAGAGAACATAGAGAAGCGTCATAGTTAAATTAAATGAGGGTTGAGGACTCCTCGACTTATGTTGGCAACAGTGTTTGTTTCTAACTAGAAAAAATGTCATAATATTTTTAACGACGCGTTTTACTTTCGACAAATTGACACTAGATTTACCAGAATATTACAAGCTGCTTACTGTTTTCTTCACTTTAATTCAGATCACATGAATTACAGTTCGTCGTCTGAGAACTTGTTTGATCTACAGACCAGAGCGCACTCAGTCCAATGTCGACTCTAATAATAAGCGTTCGTAAACGATTTAATTTATAAGCCATGATCCGTGATCTGATCCACATCCTAACCGGTTTCCACCATGATTTCTGCTGTTTCAACTTTCGAATTCTGTTTTTCGAAATTTTAGTTTGGGGACTTTTCAGTTTACTCCTATTTATTTTTCAATTTTTGGATTTTACAATTTCTCAATTTTTCAATTTCTCGGTTTTCAGTTTTTCTCTTCAATTTTACAATTTTTAAATATTTCGATTTTTCAATTTTTGACTTTTATAAACTCTATTTGTCGATTTTTCAGGTTTTTGATTTTTCAATTTTTCGATTTTTTAACGGTTTCGATATTTCGTTTTCACTTTTTTGATTTTTCGATTCTTTAGATTCTTAGTATTTGGATTTTTCAGTTTTGGGATTTTTCAGTTTTTCGATTCGTCAGTTTTTCTTTCATTTTTCAGTTTTTCGATATTTCAGTTTTGGGATTTTTCAATATTTCCGTTCTTCGACTTTTCCATTTTTGACTTCTGGATTTTTCGATGTGTCGACTTTTTACTTTTTCGATTTTCAAATTTTAAATTTTTGGATTTCCCGATTTTTCATTTCAGTTCTTCGATATTTCAATTTTTCAAATGTTTCGATTTCTTAATCTTTCGATTTTTATATTTTCGATTTTTCAGTTTCTTGATATTTTAATTGTTCAATATTTAAAATTTTAGATTTTTCGATTTCTCGATTTTTCATTTCAGTTCTTCGAAATTTCAGTTTTTCAAGTTTTCGAATTTTTCAAATGGTTTGATTTCTTAATCAATCGATTTTTCGACTTCCCAGTTTTAGATTTTTCGTTTTTCAATTGTCGTTTTTTCAAACTTTCGACTTTCGAGTGTTCGATATTCCTGTTCTTCAATTCTTTAATTTTTCGATTTTTCAGGTTTTTGATTTTTATTTTTTAATTTTTTTAAGGTTTCAATTTTTTGACTTCATTTTTTGGATATTTCTATTGCTCAATTTTTCGACTTTTTAGGTTCTCAGTTTTTGGGTTATTAACTTTTCGGATTTTTCAGGTTTTCCATTTTTCAGTTTTTCGATACTTCAGTTTTGGGATTTTTCAATATTTCGATTCTTCGACTTTTTGATTTTTGACTTCTGGATTTTTCAATGTATCGATTTTTTTACTTTTTCGATTTTTCAATTTTGTGATATTTTAATTATTCAAATTTTAAAATTTCGATTTTTCTTTCCAGTTTTTCGAATTTTTTAAATGTTTCGATTTCTTAATATTTCGATTTTTGACTTCCCGGTTTTAGATTTCATGTTTTTCAATTTTTGTTTTTTTTTATTTTCGATTTTTCAATTTTTTAAAATTTTACTTTTATAAAATGTCAATTGTTCGATTTTTCAATTAATTGATGTCTTGTTATTCCCATTTCTTGACTTTTTCGGTTTTCCTGTTCTTCAATTCTTCAATGTTCCCATTTTTCAGGTTTTTCATTTTTCAATTTTTCGATTTTTTATGGTTTTGATTTTTCGATTTCTCAATTTTTCTATTTTTTAGAATCTCAGTTTTTGGATATTTCAGTTTTTTCATTCTTCAATTTTTCTTTCATTTTTCAGTTTTTCGATATTTCAGTTTTAGGATTTTTCAATTTGTCGATTTGTTTACATTTCGATTTTTAAATTTTAGTTTTTTCGATTTTTTGATTTAATTTTTCAATATTTATTTTTATTTATTTAAAATTTTGGATTTTTCGATTTTTCGGCCTTTCGATTTCTTGTTTGTTCTTGTTGTTTTTCAAATTCTCAATTTTTCGAAATTTTACTTTTGAGATTTTTGAGTTTATTTATTATGCAATTTTTGGATTTTATGATTTTTCAATTTTACGATTTTTCAATTAATCAATATTTTGATTTTCTCATTTCTTCCCCTTCGGCTGTTTCCATTTTGCAGTTTTTCAATTCTTCAATTTTTCGATTTTTCAGGATTTTGATTTTTCATTTTTTTATTTTTAAGGTTTCGATTTTTCGACTTCACTTTTCTGATTTTTCGATTTCTCAGTTTTTTAGTTTTTCAGTTTTTGGATATTTCAGTTTTGGAATTTTTCAGTTTATTATTATTCAATTTTTCGATTTTACAATTTTTCAATTTTTTAATTTCACGAATTTCAATTTTTCAATTTCTCAATTTTCCCATGTTTCAATTACGTTTTTACAATTTTTCTCTTCTATTTTACGATTTTTATATATTTAGATTCTTCAAATTTGACTTTTATAAACCCTCAATTCTTCAATTTTTTAGGTCTTTGATTTTTCAATTTTCTAAGGTTTTGGTTTTTCGACTTTTTGATTTCTAAATTTCTCAGTTTTTGGATATTTCTGTTTTGAGTTTTTTCAGTTTTTTCATTCTTCAGTTTTTCTTTCATTTTCCAATTTTTCGAAATTTCAGTTTTGGGGTTTTTCAGATTGATTTATTATTCAATTTTTCTATTTCTCAATTAATCTTAATTAATGTTTTGATTTCCCGATTTAGTTTCCCATTTTTGGTTTTTTTTTCATTCTTCAGTTTTTCGATATTTCAGTTTTGGTATTTTTCAATATTTCGATTCTTCGACTTTTCGACTTGACTCCTGGATTTTTCGATGTGTCGATTTCTTTACTTTTTCGATTTTTCAATTTTTAAATTTTAGATTTTTTAATTTTTAAAATTTAAAATTTTTCGATTTCTCGATTTTTCATTTCAGTTCTTCGATATTTCAATTTTTCAAGTTTTAGAATTTTTCAAATGTTTCGATTGCTTAATTTTTCAAATTTGACTTTTATAAACTCTCAATTTTTCCATCTTTCAATCAATCGATGTTTTGATTTACCTATTTCTTGACCTTCGAGTGTTTCGATTTTCCTGTTCTTAAATTCTTTAATTTTTTGATTTTTCAGGTTTTTGATTTTTCAGTTTTAGGATTTTTCAATATTTCAATTCTTCGGCTTTTCTATTTTTGACTTCTGGATTTTTCGATGTGTCTACCTTTTTACTTTTTCGATTTTTCAATTTCTGGATTTGATTGTTCAGGTTTTCGATTTATCATTTTTTCAATTTTTTATTTGGGCCTATTTCGGTTTCTCAGTTTTTCCAGTTTTCCATTTTTTCGTTTTTTGATTTTTCCGCTTTTCCAATTTTTCAACTTTTAACTTGTTTGTCGATTTCTCTATTTTTCGATTTTTCGACTTCATCACTTTTCGATTTCTCGTTCTTTTGATCTTTCAGTCTCTCAATTTTTCAATTTTTCGAATTTTTAAGTTTTTTGATTTGTCGATTTATCGATATTTGGATTTTTCGATTTTGGCCTATTTCGGTTTCTTAATTGTTCGACTTTTCGACTCCACGATTTCTTGATCTTCTGATTTTTCGATTTGTCCGTTTTTCGATTTTCCAGTTTTTCGATTTTTCAGTTATCCGATATTTTAAATTTGAGTTTAGATTTCTCGCTTTTTCGATTATTTTTTAAGGTTTCGATTTTGCGATTATTAGATTTCTCGATATTTTGAATTTTCGATTATTTTAATTGTTCATTTTTTTTTCTCACTGTTAATATCATACAGTGTATCGAAAACAACCACAAAAATTGTCACTAAACACATTTAAAAAAAATTCATACAAAATAGAACACAGTGTTTCCAAAACGATTTCCCGAAAAAAATCCATTGGGTTATTACGATTTCAACAATATTCTTAGTTTAAGACGTTTTGCTAGTATAAAATACAAATAAAGAGTTAATTCTTAGTTAAACAAAATATGTAAAATCATCTAAATATGAATCAAAAATATTCACTTAGTCGTTATAAAATCCGACCAAACAACTATTTCCCGCAGAAATTATAGTCTGAACCAACCCAATCGCTTCTGAACGCTTAGAGTCGACATTGGCCTGTGCGCCCTCTGGTCTATAGATCGAACAAGTTTTGAGGCGACGAGTTGTAGTGAAACAAATTTTTTATTTAAATTTGGCGCTTGCCTTTGCGGTTGAAGACGCCAATGTCGAGGGTGGTTTTGCAAAATCAGCCTCAATGTCGCATCTATATTAATCTATAATTTTACGACAATTATTTTGTTGCACAAATATACGTTTTGAATTTGACCGTTGGCGATCCGAGCGGTCGCAGCAGCCATTGCGGTTCGTTCCCCTTAATTAAACCCCCAATAAAACAGAAATTGCAGATGTTATCGACGGCAATCATAAAAAGCTCTGGCCACCCTCCGCACTTCCAATTTTCGAAAAAACTCCGG